AACAAGATAGAAAAATGCGATCTTTTTTTTTTATCTTGTTTGAATTTTGTTTCTATTAAAAGTAAAAGCTCTTTCTTCGGTGAGAGATGAAAAAAAGTCGAGAAAGTGGTGATAAAGTCGGAGAGAGAGAGAAAAAAGAGCTACGGTAGTTATTATTTCTTATTTAAAATTTTTATTTTGTACTTTTTTGTACTTTCCTCAAGTTTCCATGAATCTCACAGGCCAAAGGGAGAGGCAACCCTTTGTTTTCCCAACTGATCAGAAAAGTCAGGAACTGATCCTGTTTTTCAAAGCTAAGAAAAATGGGTGTACTTTTCTTTGTAATTGACCTTCTGATTTTTGTGTACAGAAGCTTCAAACCTAGGTTAATTTTCAACAAATAAACAGTGAAAAAATAGAATTAGCAACAAACAAAAAAAATTAAATTAGTAATAAATAACTAATAAAAAAAAACTAAAATGTAAAAAAAAAAAACAAAATATGTAATTCGTCACAGATGTGATTACATCCCCGATGCCTCTCTCTATAATTTTCTATAAATAACCTTTAAGTTTCCCTTCTCTCTTCCATTATAATACAACTTAACTAGAGTAAAAATAAACTCAAAAGTCAAAACAAACCTTCTCTCTTCTATTATAATACAACTTAACTAGTGTAAAAATATCTCAAAAGTCAAAAAGAACCTTCTCTCTTCCATTATAATACAACTTAATTAGAGTAAGGGAAAACTCGAAAGGAAGCCAACGAGAGACTTTCTTTGACCTTTATCTTTCCACCATGTCCATCTTAGTCTTACTGGATCATGTCCCCAAAAAACTATTCTATATCAGGTTAATTCATAAAAAATCTCCAACAAAATAAGAAACAACCCTTACAATTAGGAGACTCAAAAGAATGAAAAACATTCCCGTATTTTATTACCTAAAAATAAACCCACTCCCTTTCTCTAAAAAACCCAATTTCCTATTCTCTTATCTATACTTTCTCTCTCTACAATACAACATAATTATCTTATCTATACTTTCTCTCTCTACAATACAACTTAATTAGAGTAAAAGAAAACCTAAAAATTATCTTATCTATACTTTCTCTCTCTACAATACAACTTAATTAGAGTAAAAGAAAACCCAAAAGGATCCCAACATGAGACCCCAACATCTATAATTTTTAGGATTTTTTTAACTTTATATTTTCAATTATATGAACTCCCATGTCTATCCTAAGCTTAGGAGGTCTTATGTCCAAAACGAACTCCTATATAATAATGGAAAATTTGGTTTATAAAAAAATCTCTAGGAAATAAATTTTTTTTTTTGTTAGTCACAATAATGATATCAATAAATAAATAAATAAAATCGATAAACAACTTATTTGGATTTTTTCTTAAATTACATGAGAGACTTAAGGTTTCATACCAAAACCTATAGACCAAGTCATCCGGAGGCTACTTTAAGAATCTTTTTTGGTGAATCTCATTCACCTCATTTCCACCCTTATCTATATATAACTTTCTTATGAGGGGTTAATCTCTTTTTATAGAGATCAAATTTTAGTTTGTTACTCTCGTATTCATGGTATATAGGAGTTGCGATCCAAATATAACTCTTGCCTTATTTTTTTTAAGTGCAACTAATTAGGATTAATAAGTTGTCACCAAACTGTTAATCCTATATAATGAGTTAAACTCGTCATTTATTTACTAATGATTAATGAACTAAATTCGTAATTTATCCACTAATGACTCACATGATAGGATGTCATCCAAGTATTCTTACAATTTGATAAAAGATATTTAAAAATTAAATAAACTTTGTATATCTATAATATAGAAAAAACAATTCTTATAAAGAATCCAAACACACCACTGGTTTCTCTCCAGTGCAATATCCTATTAAATCTAAAAAATAGATCCAAAGATGTAGCATTGCCTCTTGTTAACCATATGGAATCACACATATACTACAACATGGATTTTGTATCATTATTGATAAATAAATTTATCAGAGAGAAGAGACTGATAGACCACATTTTCAACACTTTTTATCATTAGAGACCAAAAGAAATTAAATTTTTTGAGTTTATCCTTTCAACTATGTGGACTCTCATGTTTGTCCTAATCTTACTTGGTCTTATCCTCAAAACCAACTGGAAATTTGGTTCATAAAAAATCTCAAACAAAATACGAAACAACCCTTACAATTAGGAGACCCAAAAGAACGGGAAACGATCCCCTATATCCAGGGGATTCAAGATAAATAAGAGTGATCCGGTTTTAATTGTTAAATAGGGTAAAAGCCTACACGTCCTTATACAATAAGATCGATATTTTTTGTGTGAAGGATATCACAATCATAATTAACTATTAGATTGAAAATTTGATAGTGGGAGATGTATAATTGATTGAGCGTAAAATCAAATTAAAATTTATCAAATATTATGACATATTTTAATCTGACATATTTCATATCTATTGAATGAGAATAATTGCGACCTCCTTGTATCTACAATACTCCGAATACATCGACAGCACTCGCCAATTGTTGTAACCAGTAAAGCTCAGCCTAATTCAAATTATCTTATGGTCAAAATGCTAGACCGTCACGAGTAAAAAAGGGTGTGGTTTACACGTGGTGTGTATTTTAAGTTTAAATAGTCAAATAAGGCACAACTTCAAATACCTTCCAAAAACGGTAGTTTGAGTATAAAAATTTTTCAAGATGACCTCAAAATTCGTTTCCAGGATTATAAAAATTAGAGCTATAAGAAATTAGTGTGATAAAAAATATTTATTTTTAATACAAAAAATCCTTGCTTTTAGTATCACACACCTCGAAATCAATATAATCAATTAGACGGTTTTATAGCATCTATTACACAGTTTTACTTGAGTCCAAGTGATATTTCTATAGTATAAGATTGACACCTTGTATAAAACTTTTCCCGAGTAAAAACAAAGGAAATAGATAAGGGTGCCGTTTGTACAGAGGAAGGACACTGCAACCCTACCTATTGTGTGTCAAGATAAGAGGTCAAGTTCAATACTTCAATCATGTCTTAAGGGAAAAGAATAGCACAACTGATGGGTTGGCTAGGCGTGAGGTGCAAATTCAGGGGTTGTTTTATTGTTATTTGTTTATTATGTTGTATAAATAATTGATGCACATTGAGAATTAGGATATTGTAATTGAGTTGTTATTCTTGAAAAAAAAAAAAAGAAAAAAAAAAAAGAGAGGATATGAAAGCATGTATTACCTAGGACACGGTTGCTATGTGTCTATGTAGAAATCAGCCATTTCTAAATAAATTTTAAAAATTATAAATAATAATTCTATTAAGACAGTTAGTTTTAATTGTTTTTAGATTAAACACTTTTTTGCATTTATTTTCAAGATAGATGCTTTATATCTTAGGACAACATATTATAGAAATACGACCATATTATAAAAATGCGATCCACCCCGCATGAAACAATTTTCCTTGTGACCAATACTTTCTCTTTACACAAAACAATTGAGAGATTACAATTCACGGGTGAGATACAACCACGTCGTCAATGGTGAACTTTACCGAGTAGTGAACTTGAGAGAATGGGAGACTACAATGAGATCCATATGATCATGTTAAATGAATCCCATGAAATCCTTCCATCAAAAGATTCAAGGGCGATGGAAGCCAGTGGGAACAAGTAAAGGTGTACACTCTTATAAACCCATTTAATGACCATTATCCTACACCGCCCAATTGATTGAATGGACGCTGATGAACTTTATGATTATGCTTTCTTGAGCCAAAAATAAAGAATAATAGAACTGATGAATTATCATCATTTTTCTAAGTATTAGAAATCAGCTATACGAGTCATGTTTTTTCTCTTATAAAAAAAAAACAAATAGTAATGCACCGTAAAAACCCACAAATTACCCCTACGAAATAAAGATATCACCGACCCACCCTATCCCCTCCTCCGCTCCATTGTGTATCTAAAGATCGTCGTCGTCGTCGTCATCCTCTCCAATCTTGCCCACCACCTTGGCCTTGGCCATGGCCACCCCCTCCTCCAACTTGTCCATAGCTTCCCCATACATACCCTTCCTCAAAGCCCTATAAACCCCCCTCTCCCACTCCCTCCCCACCAACACCTCCGCCTCCGCCAACGCCGCCTCCAGCACCCCCTCCTCCCCCTCCCCCTTCCAATCCACCAACCCCAGCCCCTCTGCCCTCGTCGCCGTGTACTTCTCCCCCCTCAGAACAGCATCCCTCAACGCCCGGCCCCCCATCTTCTCCCTCAGCAAGGTCACAGACCCCTCCGGCAATGCCACTCCCGCGTCCACAGCAGCACAGTACAAAAACCCACGGTCGGATCGCATGAACCTGTAGTCGTGGGCCATGGCAAGAAGAAAGCCGGCGCCGGCAGCGTGGCCCTGGACTGCTGCGATCGTGGGGATCCCGAGGTTGAGGAGACGGAGGGCGACGCGCTCGAAGAGGGCAAGGAGTTTCGGGAGGCGGGAGCTGCGTTTTTGGTTGGCCCAGCTGAGGTGGAGGCCATTGGTGAAGAACTTGCCATGGGAGGCAGTGATGAGGGCGGCAGCATCGGGGTGGGAATCTACAGCGTCGAGGGCGGCGAGGATGTCCGAGAGGAGGCGGGGCGTGAGGCGGTGCTCGTCGTTCGGGTTGGCGGAGGTGAGGCGGAGGATGAAGACTCTCCCGCGCCTCTCAAGGGTGCAGCTTGTGCTGTCTGTGTTATTCAGTGATCCCATGTTCTAGAGAAGGCAATTATTAAGAGAGACAAGGGGAAGATGCTTCCGATCTCTAATTCAATCAGCCGGGAAAAGATGGTTTGCAGTTTTTCCGGCGATGTTTCCGACCAGATGAGGAAAACCGATACGATTCTTGGGTCTCTGAAGACGGACCCTATATTTAAGGAGCTTGGGACGGCCGTTGCCGTGCCACGTGGCAAATCGGTTCATCTTTGCGTGCCCTTCCCATTCAAAGCAAAAGTCAGGAAAATGCCGGGGCCTTTCCAGGGAAGGTGATGTTCATCCCAAATTACTATTTTGCCCCTGGAATTTGGACCAGAGGTCATGAGTGTCTTAGAAGGCACGCTGTGGATTTCCTTTTCATCATGACACTTGCCTGCCCATGTAGTAAGTAGCAAACTCCCATTTCTCCTCCCAACTTTTTAACGTCTTTCTCTGGTGCTGAAAATAAATAAAAAAACCATTTCCATCCTTTTGCTTTCAAAATATGATGAGTTTTATCTGGATGGGGATCGATCGGCCTTACCTTATACCATAGCAGTAAAGCGTATATAAAAAATCCAACGCAACCTAGCGTTTCAAAGAGGTAGGGGAGTCTTTTAATTGATCATCTTGGCTTTTATATATATATATATATATATATAAAATAAAAATAAAAAAATTCAAGTGATTTGGATTAGTAG